ACAGAGAAAGGAAGGATGAAAATGTGTGTGCCCGTAAATCTGTAATCTGGAAATACAGGGAGATTTTCTGAAAGATGCGATTTTTCTATACAGGCTATTTACCTGGCTGCTCAAGATGGCTTGTCCTTATTAAAAGGGCAGTTATGTAAGATGCAGTTCTTTTGGTATCTTTTCAGAGTACTGAGATAGTAGAGTCAGACTGATTATTCATGTCTGGTCTACAGTTCTTGGGAAAACAACAGATATGTGTGGAGAAATGCTGAGTTTATGATAAAATTAAATTGTTTGCTAAGAACAGTGGCAAGGAAAACCTAGCTGCCTCCCCCAACCAAGTGGAAAACTACTTGGGGCATTCTAAAGTAGCAAAACAGTATTATGTGTATCATACACCAGTTAAAACAATTCTTTAAGCACGGAATATGTGACCCCGCCCCCATGACTTCCTTGTGGAGAGTACTTTCTACTTTGTCCTTGATTAGTGGTAAGCAGGCATCAGCTGCCTACCTAGTTTATCTTGGTTCTATGAGAAAACAGAGGACACCTGCTGTTAATAATAATCACCTGTTCGTAGACAATAAATACGTGGGTCAATATGCTCGAAGCCCTTAGCCTGGAGTGCTGTAAGCTCACTAAGGCTTTCAGTTCAGAAGGCTGTTCATTCCCAGATAGTCCCACTTTTCTGTTCTATCAGATGTCTGCTGCTGCCTTTTTTTTTTTTTTTTTTTTTTTTTTTTTTTTTTTGCAGAAAAGTGATTTATTTAGGTAGAGAAAGAGAAAAGGGAGAAGAGAGAAAAGTTTCATGAAGAGTGTGGAAGGGGACTCCAGAGGGGAAATCCAGGAGGGGAAAGAGAGCTCCCACCATGTGGGAGGGCCTTCCAGAAAGCTGGAAATCTGGGTGTCTGCTTCTTAATGCCTTCAGCACCGCCTGGGTGGGGAGATCTGCCGAGCTGGACTCGGTAGATAGTCTTTCTCTACGGCCTGTTCTAATTTCCCTTCGGACCGTTTCCTGTTTCTCTCTCTGACTGATAGAATGTGAATTCAAACATTGAAGGCCATATGCTTTCTAACTGCACAGCACTTTTTAAATTCCTTAGTTTATATTTCTTCCTCCTTGTGTGGGTGTCGCGCTTTCTCCCCTCTTCCTTTCCTCCCTTCCCGCTCTCACCCCCCATCCTATCTCATTTCTCTTTCTCTCTCTCAGATTCTAAACCAAGGAGAATATCTGGTCTCAAATCTAACAATACTGTATTTACTACATGACGTTAGACAAATCAACTCATTGTTTTCAGTAACTGTAAGAGGAAATCTAAACTTAGCTTGCCAGATTCCTAAGTTGTTTCGGTGAGGCTGAAATAAGGAAGTAAATTCACTCATCTAGTAAGTATTTATTCAACCTTTAATGTGTATCAGGCACTATACTAGGTTCAGGGATACGTTTTTGAAGAGAACAAATGAACTTCTTACCCGTGACATTTTTGTTGGAAGGACATACAAACATGAGGAAACAATAAGCCCTGCAGGTTGTGGTGGGTGCTTTGTAGGAAGTGAGCATGATGCAGTGACTGAGAAAGACAAGGATGGCAATACTCAAGGCTGCCAGGAAAAGCCTCTTCAGGGAAGCAGTATTGACAGTGTGACACTTGAAGTCTGTTTAAGAGAAAGCCTACGATATACTGAACCACAAACAATGAATAGTAGCCCCCTCTAATCCTTTATGTAAGAGGGAAAATTACAAAACAGTAAGTTTTCCCAGTTTGTGATTATGTCACTTTATAATAATCTCTACTTTTTTGTGAGCTTCTTTTTTATTTTTAATCTGAATCTTTTATGCTTCCTCCTCTTCTGGTTTTGGGGTTTTTTTGTTGTTTTGTTGTTTGGTTTTCTGTTTTTTTGAGACGGTTTCCCTCCTGTTGCCCAGGCTGGAGTGCAATGGCATGATCTCAGCTGACTGCAACCTCTGCCTCCTGGGTTTAAGTGATTCTCCTGCCTCAGCCTCCCAAGTAGCTGGGATTACAGGCATCTGCCACCACGCCCAGCTAATTTTTATATTTTTAGTGGAGATGGGGTTTCACCTTGTTGGTCAGGCTGATCTCCAACTGCCGACCCCAGGTGAGCCAACACGCCTGGCCTCTCTTCCATTTTTGATTTGTGCAGGTCTGATCTCGTCATCTGGCCCCTATCTATGGTGCTATTTTCCTTCTGGCCTGCTGCTGTTCATGCACTTCTTTCCTGCTGCTTGGCCTGCTGTATGTCATAAACCCATGCAATTGGTTTCCATTCCTAAGATTTGAATCCTGTACGTCTAACACCTTCCTGAAGATTTCCTAAGCTGCTCATTTTTCTGCAAACCTACCTACCCTTCAGAATATAGGGAATGTCTGCTATTTAGCTCCTGAAGACAGAATGTTTCCAAATTGATCTGACTAGAATTGTCTGCCATAGTGCCTGGCATGTAGTAAACCCTCAATAAATATTTATTGACTAAATGAGTGAGTGAACTAATTTTGCTAATCTCATGCAGTCCATCTGTAGGGTTAAAGTGTTTTTCCCTCTATAATTTCAGGTCTATTTTCCCTTCACATGTAAAATGCATATAAAAGCCTTTACCTTCAGCTCTATTATATAGTACAATCTTTTCTTCACAGGATTTTTAAAATTTTTAATATACTCTCTCTATTTGCTGTATATGTGAAACTTTGTAATTGATCCCAGAGAGCCCTTGAGGCATTGACAGTGTCTCGGAGATTCTTTGTTCATTGTGCAGTGTAGTGCGTAATGACAAACCTCGGCATTCAGTATGTAACTGGATTTTTGTTAATGATAATCTCTGAGATTTCGGCTGTTTCGATTTCTGTTTTCAGCATCTTGAATTATCACATATATTATTCATATTAAGTAGAAATGTCTAAGGAAAATCTTTGCGTTAAGGAAGTTGTCATGTTTTCAGAGTTAAGTAGCAACTAAATGCAATGTTTCTTTTGTAGAAAATTTTCAAGTATGGCCAAAGTTTGGTAGATACTTTGTGTGATATTATTGATCAGCAATGGCAATAATAACTTAGCTACAAACAACTTTCAGAGACTTTTCAACAGCAAATACTCAGTTTTTACCAGTGTAAAGGTGTGTTTAGAATCATCACTGCCAACTCATTTCAAGAACTTAAGTGTTAAGTAGTACCTTAAATCTGTATCTTACTGTGTTACATCCATTAGAAATAACTTGTAAATGATCCTTCAGTTTTGAACATTCTATGTTTATAGTTCTAAAATCTTTAATGCCAAAAATTGATTTTAAAAAATCCCTTTGGGTTTTTTTGTCATTTAGATTATATTCCTTAATTCAAGAAAACCTACATAATTTACACTATGATTTTTATTTACACTTACACAAGGATCTGACCTATATGATCGGGAACAACTTAAAAACTTCAGTATTTATGATTTGTATTTATGGCCCTGTGGGATGTATTAGGTCGGTACAAAAGTAATAGTGGTTTTTGCTATTACTTTTAATAACTCTAAAAAGTAACTCTAAAGCAGTGGGACAGACTTTCCAATATACTAATAGTTACATGTCTAGGAGGCCTCGTCTCCTTGAAAGCAGTCACCTAGGAAAGCTACACATTTGTTCCAGTAATGCTCCTATGGCTTAAAAATGTTGTGGAATGCCTCCGAAATGCTAAGAAATAAAATGACATTATTTTAAATATCCTGAATTGTGTCCGAGGTGAATTTAATTTTATTGAGTAGTCAAATAATCCCAGGACCAAGTATATAGTAAATGAAATCTGGAGAGTCGTTTGGAGCCATAGTTAAATATAAAATAACAAGATGGGCTTTCCTCATGCTACATAAACTTGAAATTGATTGTTCAAGAGAAATTTCAGAACCCTTGACGTTGGAATAAATGTATACACTCCCAAGGTACCTACTAGTACTTGTCTAGGTGGGGGAAAAATATGTGTATGTTTGCAAAATAAGATGAGTTTTATTACTTTATAGACAAACCTTGCAGATGAAAAATATACTCCTATCATGGAACTCTTTATAAGCAAACGTCTGAATATAAGTAGAATTTCTGCCTCGTCCTTTCTAAGCCTGTTGAGAAATCTGAATTTCTAACAATGACTTATTGCTTTAAAAAAAAATAGTGATGTTTACTGTGTAAAAAGTAGATGCCTCAGTTTATCTTCACTTTTTCCTGATTAGTTTTGTTACTCTATTCAATTTTTATCTCAGTGTATCTATCTTTGTTCACACTGAGATTCTCAAAATGTGTTTTTTCATTGTAAAATTATCAAACTGTTGAACCAAGTTAGAAAATAATGTCTAAGCTGAAGGCTATTACTTATTCTATATTGTTTCAAGCTCTTTATTGTTCACATTAGTAATCCTCAGATGCCTTTTTTTTTTAAAGTGGGACCCTAATATCTTAGTAAATAAGAGCATCAAATTTAAAGAGAAGTCTCAAAGATTTTGTAAAAATAAATACCTTCAATTTTGGAGTTTCTATTATATTTTCATTTTTACTAATAAAATCTTTAAAAATAGAGTTCAGCCAAAGTGCTGGATCCTGTTTCTCTAATGTAGAAACTTCCAGGTAGACTCACCAGCCAAGCATGGGGGATGGAGCTGATGTGTCCTGCTTGATTAGGGCTTTTCCAAATTCATTTCACCACATTCGTCTTTATCCAAGTCATCCAGGCCCCTATTTCTTCATTGCTGAGTTGAAATAATAAAGGTAAAGAGAAGCATGGAAAGCAGAGAAAATTGTTATCCTTCTGCAAAGAGGCTAAGACAGCTAAATTGTGACATAATTTAAACTGTTCAAATTTGACAAGTTTGACTGGAAAATTATGAGACCTGTGTAATTAGAGATCAAAATGGCCACTAGTTTACAGTTTAAAGAGTCATAGAGTGGCGTTTTTAACCACAGACTGATAGAATATGGTTTTGTTCTGCCCAATAGTAACTATTGCACAAATGACTATTGTTTTGCAGTTTGGTGATTTAAATGCCGTGTCTCCTGGAAATCTGGATAAAGGTAAAAATAAAAAATAATGTACCTTTTTAAGAACTTTTTTTTTTACTGACAAATTCTCATAGAGGAAAATACAGTATATGTTTACAACACTCTGATTTTGTGGAAGTGGCATAAAAACCCTAAACAAAGATGACACTCATGTCTTTTCATTATTTTTTCATTTTTCTTCATCCCTGTACCTTCTACATGTGAGATACATTAAATGCAGATAATTGAATTTAAATGTAGTTATAAACTCTTTACACTTTTTGCCTGAATTTCATTACAAGTGACAAGAAGTTATTTCTGACCATTGCTAGAATCCTGGAGAGAAGTGATAAAATTGGATGAGACATTTTCATTCAAGGCCCACCAGGCAAGAAAAAAGATTCCTCAGCCCACCTATTTCACCAATTCATACTTTGCTGTAGATAAAGAACTCAGAGATAGGAATGAGGTTTACTATAAATGCAAGATTAGTAGTGGTGTAGATGAAGAAGGTAACACATATATCTCTGAAATTTTAATACCAGCATTGTCACTAATATGCAGTATAATATGATAACATGATCAACAAAATTACACAGTAAAAAGCAAGATGGACTTAGCAGGAGATAGACTAGGGATAGAACACACAAGTCTTACCCACCTTTATAAACAGAGCACAAACAAAACAATACTGATAAAAACACCAGTACAATTTTTAAAAACAAGTAAATTTTCTGTTAAACACTGCAGGAAACAGGGCTCTTTCTATTAAAAGGTGGTGGAGAGAGAGAGGTTTCTTGAGGTTTTAAGGAGTTGTTATGGTTATTGGCTATCAGAGACAGGTACAGAATGCACATAGACTGGGGAGAGCTACGCACTTAACCCTTCCAGGCCAGAGCCATTGGGGAAAATGAGGTAAAAGGAAGTACTTGGGGAGTCTGCAAAGAGGTGCAGTGCTGTTCTCCAGAGCATGCTATATTAAGGTACTCAGTACACTAGAAACGCAAGGAGATTTGAAAATTAAGGCCAAGAAAAATTGTTGCTACAAATATATACCCTATAGGATTAACCAAATAACCCTCAGAAAAATAAGTCAGTGATGATATTAATTAGTAATTTTAGAGCAAGAGAGGTGGTAACTGAAACTCATGTCCAACATAAAGCAACACTGATAATATACTCACACCAAAGCTTCATAACCCAAATTCAGGAATTTCATCATGGGGTGCCCAGAGTTCGGTAAAGTTTTACTACTCAGTCAGAGACTGAGTTCCAGCCAGGCTTCTTCACACCATACTGAACCACATGGTTTTCTGTAAACTCCTGTAGCTCCTAATTTTAGTTTTTATGTACCAAATTTCCATAACCTGAAGTAGATTCCTAGGAAGTGTCTTTGAGTTTTTAATAGAAGCATAAAATGTCTGCAGAATTACATTCCTTTGTCCTTAGGACCTGGAGAATGGGCTGGCTTTTATAAGTTGCTTTGTAGGCTCTCCAAAGGAAACCTGTCACCCAGAGACAGATCTAAGCAAAACCTACCTGGAACATTTAAATTTGTCCAATATGTTACCTCACTGCCCTTTCCATCCACAACAAAATAGATAGAAGGACTTTCCTCACTTTGTCTCTACTGCCCTCCTGCTTGAAAATGATTTTTTGTCTTTTCAGTGCTGCCCCTTTTATTATTTTGACACTAATTTCTTAGGCACAGGGAAGTATGTGAACAGGTAGCAGAGAAGCAGTATGACTTGTCCTCACCTGCTGGATGTGGCGGTGCTGGTCCCATTTACCCCCCGACCTCTCGATGCCTCTTGATATAGAGTCATATGGGCATACTCAGGGCCTAAAGATTGAATGTGAAATCCTAGGAGTTTCTGTGGGCTTCTCCCACAAAATGAGAATTCTTGTCCTTGATAATAAAAGAGATATTTGCTCCATATAAAAATTTCAAGTACTACAGAGAATTAGTAACTATAGAAAGTGAAGCTTTATCATCACAACCCTAAGAGACTGCCACCATGAAGAGTTTGTGTTAAGATCCTTCCAGACATTTTTGTTTTATGTATAAACACATGCAACACCAAAATGTATCATGCAAACATGTTTCAAGCATACCCTCTTGATGAAGCAAATGTCTACAAAAGATATCCCTCTCTCTGTAACCCCCAACCCTTTGAATATACTTGTTCTGACACACTGTAATATTATCATTAAGTTCATTTTCCAGAGGCAAAAAGGTAACTAGATAAAGTAGGCAGGCCAAGATATCTTTTGCCTCATCTAAGAGGACTTCTTTGTTTTATTGGTCATTAATGCATGACACACATTTGTAGCCAATGTATGTTAATCTCCACTTGTTTAATCACAAATTGCCATTTCTCAGACCTTGCTCCCGGTGGCTGTACACTGTACAACCTTATAGGTAAGGCCTTTACTTCTCGCTGCTTTCTTCTAGAAGCATCTTAGCCCCAATCATAATGAAATAAAAGTCAAAGGGCCTTATTTATAGAGACAACTGCATTGGCCGAGATTTTTGCTGTGGGTGTCTACCAGCTGTAAAGCTGCAGTCTTACTGCTTGCAAAGAATCCAACTTAATCTGACCAAAGAGATACTTCTTGTATACTCACTGTATGTGATATGCCATAGAATAATAGAGAATGGAGACCTGACTCTGTTTATACAAGCCACTGTAATTATTCCTCTTGAAGAGGTATTCTGAGGAGACTCTCACACAGTAGTAAAGCTGTATATGTGCATTTTCTCTCTGTACTGTACTTTTCAATTTTAACAGTGCATGCTGGAAAAAATTAAATGGCATTCCCTTATAATGATGCTTTAGTTAATATAAAATGTATTACAATTTGGGGGTAACAGTGACTATGTAACACATTTAATTTCCAGAAATGAATACCAGCTATTAATAGTGTCAGTTGCCAAGGATGGAAATACATTGCACATTTTTAATCTGATACTACTGTCTCAGTTTTAATAATTTTTATAATAAAAATTAAGGGTTTATTTTATACTGTGACCATCTACAACATTGATGAGTGCCAAAAGGTCTCTAGAGCAGCCTCTGTTTATACATGCAGTAGTAATATTATCAACATAGGTCTCACCCACATTAACGTTAGCATAGATAAAATTTATATTTAGTGTAGAATTTTAAAGGAAACAAACCAAAACTTTTTTTATGTTTGCATTTTCAGCTCAGTACATTTCCCAGAAGCCAAAGTGACTATTTTATTATAACACAAATTATGCCATTATTTAATATAAACACCAAGGGAGATTCCAAAGTTCTTTTTTAAAAACTTAGTGAAGTATCAATCACAAATTGCCAAAAATAAATTTTCCTTGCTATGTTTGAAAGAATTATAGATGCCTAAATATAGCATTTGAGGAGAGCTAAGATGTTTGCTTTCTTAATGTGCTATATATTAAAGTGTTTCTAAAGCACATGTTGATGCTATTTTCTAATTTGTCTTCTGATAATAGTCTTGATATTATTTGTTTGTGCAGATGAAGGCAGTGAAGTAGAAAGTGAAATGGATGAAGAACTGGATGACTCTTCAGAGCCTCAAGCCAAAAGAGAGAAAACAGAGCTAAGCCAGGCATTTCCAGTGGGCTGCATGCAGCCTGTTCTCGAGACTGGCGTGCAACCAAGCCTCCTGAATCCAATTCACAGCGAGCACATTGTTACAAGTACTCAGACTATAAGACAGTGCAGCGCTACAGGAAATACCTACACTGCAGTCTAAAGAATATTAAAGTGTATTTTTCCAGCTTACATAACCCCTGTTGATATTGGGCTTAAGTTGAAAATTTAATAAGCCTGAAGGTCGACTGTTGTCAAATTCTATCTGTGCTGAACATTAACTTTTTGGAGTTGTGAAATGGAATGGGTGTATGTATTTTGGCAGGTCGTTTTATTTTTAACGTAAGCAAATTATTTGCCTCTTAATAATGAATTTTTTTCCTTAGTTTCAGGTGTCAAGAAGGATTTTTACAACACTTAATGTCAATGTTTTGTTTTCTTAAAAAGTAATTTACATTTTTTTGTAGCTTAAAATATTTTATTGTTGATTGTTAGTCTGGGTGTATGATTTCATGTGTAAGTTTTTTAATTAGATGCACTTCTGTGAAATATCAAAAGAAATGAATTTTTTTGATTTACACTGGAGGCATGCCCATTTGGCAGCAGATGCATCAAATTTGCTTTTGAAAGGTGCTTTTCATTGGACAGAACCATAAGACACTATTTTGATAACATTTTGAGTACGGAGAGAGAATACAGAGCATTTTTATTATAGTGCTAGAGGGTTTGGAAGGTCATCTATTTTTCTCTGAGGAAAAATTGAGCTGTGCATTTATCAGTTCAGAGTAAATGACAGAATTGCAAGAGATTATGCTAATATGTACATAATTTGTGTACATAATTATTAAACGATGTTAACAATGCAAGCTTCCGTTAAACATTGAATTTTAACTATTATTTGCATACCAATTCCTCCGTTTAAAGACTACTGATTCTGTATTTGGGACCACTGCACAGATGCATTCTGCTGTTAAGTGGGGGCTGTTAGAGTTAGATACTGAAGCAGAAAAAAAATGACTTGACTTTTTTTTTAAGTGTACATGCTACTTATGCTGAGCTGGACATACAGGAAACCATTCCATTTGGATGACTTTCTTTTATTCCAGGTCTTTTTCCTAATAGTAGTTCAATATGCTGCTATTATAAAAGAAAATGTATAGAATGCAAGGAATGTAGCAACCTACATAACATTATTTCCTTCAAAACTATTTCCTGGTTTCTAAAATATGTGGATTTAAATTGTAAACAGAACCTGAAGGCAGTGTAACTGGCACACCTCACTGTTACTTATCCCCGATTCTGTAGGATTTGGATAGGTGGCTGGATGGACCATTGCCATTGAAGAATGTACATCAGGGATCATCGTACCTCGGCTATTACATGGTGCCTTAAAACAGAACTGAAGCTAAGGTTTAGTAAGGTTTATTTTGTTCATGTGAATAACTCTTCAATCCATTTGACAAAGTGTGCCTGTCATTTTCAGATTCCCGAAGTAAGGACAGGTGACATGTTCTTCAAAGGAAATTTAGGGAAAACAAAGCAAAACAAAAAGACAAAAATCAATTTCCCCCTTTGAGTGACCGTGAATCTATTTTTTATTCTTAGAGCTGCATATTTGCTTAAGGGTGTGGAATAGCAGGCTAGTTTTAATACCAACTTGTTACATAAAGTCATATATGTTTTAGACCATTCTTACCTAGTTACTGTTTTAGAAAGTTAACAAAGTAAGCAGATACTTATCGAAGTGCATCTTTTCAGTCTAAATGTTTGTCTGTGTGTCTAGGTGCCGGTGTGTGTGTCCACGTGCACACATGAGTGCCCATGGGGCAGGAGTCTGCTACAAAGTCAGAAGGTGAGATCCTAGAGAGTTACACCCAGCCCTATTTTAATTTGCATGAAAACCCAAGGTTCTTTTAAGCCCTCAAATGATTAAAACACAAAAAGGCACATCTGTTCATTTAAATAGTTGTAAAATACTAATCAGCAAAAATAGAGAATAAAGCCAAGAAAAAAAGCACAAATTGATTCACAGATTATTAATGAGGCCTGTATTAAACCCAAGATGTTTATCTTTCCAGTTGTATTGGGGCAGGGGGGTGGGGGGGTGGAAAGAAGAGGTGAGCTAGTCTGTAAAGTTAGAAATACCAAATGGCTTATCGGGTAATACACGGTATATTTAAGCTGTTGTTGCTTGATTGCCTCAGACTACTCAAATAACATGAACAACATTTCTTAAGTAAAATTTAAATCTTTAGATGTAATTTTGAAAACTGATCCAAATTTTTTATATACAACTCATCTATTTGAAAGTCTTCACTAGCATAGTAGCATCGCCATCATCTAAATATCATTTAAATTGCCGTACCTCTTTATCTTCCCAAAAAGACAATGGATTTGTACCAAAACACACACAAAAAAGCAGACAAAACATGGTAAGCTGCAAAGGATCATGTATCTACTTTATTGTGCATAGGAAGTGTTTATAGGCAAAATTAAAATCAAAAATTGAAAAGATACTCTTCATTCTGGCTCTCCTTTCTGAATGTTTTCAGTTTCCTGTCTCTACCCACCATCCCTTGAATGATACTATGTATTGGACCAAATGTATTTTACTGGTTTAATTTTGTTTATTGAATGACTTTAAATGTATTTATTATCATTGTTTCCTTTAATTTAATGTTGGATATATTTGTATCATTAGAGGAATCTGATAATGATGGGCAAATTTAGATTGATGAGACTTAGGGACTGGGGATGCTCCAGGATTCAACATTTCTTCCAATTGTTCATGGTTTGTTCTAAATTAGGACAGATTAAGAACTAATAAACATTATCACATTTGAACTTGATTCAATAAAAATATTCTCATCTCCTTTATGAATATTTAGGCATATTCTTTGTGACTACTGTAAATAGTTTGGACCAAAACATAAAAGCAGACCTATGGTTTATGTTACTTCCAGTTATTTGTAGTTTACAGTAAAACATGAACACACATACACACAAACATTTTCATCAATTTAGAATTTGAATCGTGAAATATATGAGAAAATAAAAACATACATTTGAACAAATTAAGCAATGACATTTATTGCATTTATTTCCATTTTTCCCTTTTTTCATTCATTGAAACTAGGTTTTCTAAATAGTATTAGACCGTAACACTCTAAGATTTATTCACAAATGATACAAGTACACATTTTAAGGACTTCTTTGTATTTCTTGCAATTATAACCAATCACTAGTCATGAAATATTATTGTATAAATCAAGTGCTACACTTTCAGTGAGGAAGAAGGTTAAGGAAGTTATGTTGACCATTTTTAAGTTTCAGAAAAGACATTTTCATATGATAGGATTGAGTATCATGGGTATAGTTTGATCTTGACATATACTTTGAAAATCATACCCAAAAGATTTGCATTCATGAAACCAGTGAACAATAGGGTGGAATGGATGAACCATTTCCTTGGAAGACAGGGCCCAATTTTCAATTTTTTCTTTGGCTATCAAGTTGCTAGTCACTTATTCAGGATTTTCATCCAAACTGTGTTTGGACTGACTGTGTAAGTCTTACTGCCTTTTCAGAAATCTGCTTTCCTTTTTGTGATTTTTCTTGTACTGTATAGCACGGTTTATGCACCTCTCTTTAGATGGTGTACTTTAAAAACAAAAGTAAAATTTAGAAAATGGTTTTAACACTGCATACCTGAAATTAATAGTGTGCAACATTGACTGCCTTTGATTTCTAGTAGACAAGTAAAAATGAATACGTTCTTGTAGAATGCTGTAAAAGTCATTCAGGAATGAATGCGGTTTTAGTGCCGTAATCATGAATCTTTTTATATGAATGCACTGTCTAAAAGTGCTAAATGCATTTTCAAATTTTTAAAAATTCCTCAGATATATTTGAAATGTCTAAAATAATGCTGTGCTTGAAACATTAGTGTAAAAGAAAAAAGTGTGTCACTGTGATGTTGGTCCTCCCTGTGTGGACAGAAGTAGAAAGTAAAAACTTGGCAATTCACCTTTGTGTACAATTTGAGGCAGTGGTTATATATAATGAATTGACCTTTATTATAACCCCTCTGCACACACATTCTTGGTGAGAAAATAACAGCCACCCACAAATTAAGATCAGAACTTTTGTGATCTGTATGAATCACACTAGAACATGGGGGAGGAGGATTGGCGTGCAGTGCTATTGAAAATTGGGCTTGTTAGATCAGAACAACCTCCATGTATATGGTTAGAACAAATCAATTAATGGAATCCTAGTATTTCTGCAAGTTTGGTGATTTTTAAAAACTGGAATAGAAGCATTAATTCAGTGCTTAGTTCTAGTATTAGAAAACCCCTTTGATGTAATGCCTTGTATTAACCCTTTGAGCATTGTAAGATATACAATGGGGGACAAAAGCCTTTCAGATCATTTATTTAGACTTAGACCGGTAAAGTATACTCTATATCCAAATGTCTAATTATGCTGTTTTTTTAAAGGGGGGGTAGGAAGAGAAAGTGTTTCCACGCCGAACACTTGCATTTTATATACAACTCTTAATTTTTCTTCAAGAGGGCTTGATATATTTATTCCCAAATATTCACTGCCATCTAAGTAAGTGTACTGTTTACAGAAAGAAAAAAAAAGAATCAAACTTTTCTAGCATCACACCATAGTCTCTAGAAAAGGAGGACAAATACATGGGCCTGGATAGACCCATGTCATAACTGATTTCTGCACATTGAAGGTACCTAGATTGCCTTTAAAAGGTATAAAGAAAGGGTTAAGTTTCTTTATTTTCTTTTTTTCCCAAAACAAAACAAAAGATCTCATTTATTTAGCTTTAGAAAATACAAGTGTAAGTGAAGCCTTAGGAAGAAACGAGTTCGAGTGGATTAAGAGAATGTGAACTCTTTGGGGCAGTTAGGCTATTTGGAGTTAGATCGCTCATAAAATATTGTTTGGGAATTTCGCCCAGGGCATAATTTTATCTATGCTCCAAAACTTTAATACTTTGTCAAAAAATTATATATAGACAGAATGGAGAGCAAAGCACTTGATTTTAAGCTCATTGTCAGGAGATGCTATGACTACTGCTTCTGGTATCTCTAAATGTCAGTCTGCTTACACCATTGCTGATTTTGTTCAAGGGAATCTCTTCATGCACTTGATTCCCTCTGTTCCCTGTGTGATCGAACATGAAAGCAGTGTTGTCTGCAGATGTGCTTGTGCTGCCCTAGCTGGGCGCAAATAAGAGTGTAACCTATTCTGATGTCTGGTGAAAGGACATCCAAAGCATAGTGCAAGTATGCCGTAAACGTTGCTTTTTAGGCAGTTTAGGAAGTCAAACCATGCAAATTACTCATGTGTTAACATGCAATACTCAAAGGGTTTTAATTTAACTCTCTTCTTTTGAATTCTTCATGATGATTTACTGTAAATGCTTCTCAGTTTGCATGCCTTGATCATTGCTGCTAGTGATTTTATGTGCCAGTAGACCTGAGTTTAGTTTACCAATTTTACTTAAATAGTAAAAGCCACTTACAAAGTGACTGCCTAGGATTTTTTTTCCCTTTCCTTTAAAATAATTGATAACATGGTTTTTTTTTTCTTAAGAAAAATGTGTTTTGTCTCTTATTTGATTCTGATTTGATTCTTTTCCCCCCGTCTTTCCTTTGTTTTTTTAAATAAATTATGATGTTGGGATTGGAAGCCCTGAGTAATGAAATCTTTGGTAAGAATTGTTTATGTAGCTCAATAATGAGGACAACAAATCATTTTTAGAAGAATTTTGATTCTGGGGAGGAAAGAAAATATTAAAACTCCCATTGACTGTTGATAACAAAGTAAATTTTTCCTTCAGTAAATTAGTATTTTTGAAGAAACAATAGCCTTGTTTTAACCTGTTAAACACAATTTTAAATGATCCAATAAAGAAGCTACTGAATTGTATTCATTTAAAAAGCATCTTTTGTACCAAAGCAAATTTTTTTCTCTGCTCATCTCCATCATCAATTTGGACCTATGGTGGTGACCAATGCGTTGGTTACAGAAACTTTAAGTGAGTGCCTTGAGAAAACTCGGAAATTTGTGCCTGAGGTGGTAAACTTTTAATTAGGTTAATTGTAGTGCTTACCAATCAGTAACTCCACTATCACTCAGGGCTTTCGTACCTTCTAGGTAAAACTTCTTTCATTGTGTTTTTTTAAGATACTGTATTTTTTTTTAAGTGCCATCATTTAAATTTCACTTAGTAAGTGGCCGATTACATTATTCAGTCCCACAAGCACAGAAACATAGCAACACTAGGAGATATTTGAACATTTATTTTACAATCGACTGAATATATTATGTAAATGAGGTAAGCAACTTTTGTAGAGATTGTATGTGTGAGATAATGTAATGTTCTTTTCCAGTTTTTGGACTACAGTTGAATAAACTTTTTAATTATTTAAAAACATCTTTACTGAATAACATGTGATGGTTTTTTGTATAATGTATTTGATTTTGTAAATACGTATTTCCTGATGTGATTTTTGTGAGAAATGCTAAATCTTTTAGTATATCATGTCCTCTCAAAATTGGCAGGAGCTAAATAATAGTTTGTGGGCGATTTGTATTGTGTACTGTACAATAACTGGGGAACTTTTATAATTATAAAAATATATATTAACTTTTAGTGTGTTGTTTAAACAAATGACTGGAACATACTAAAGATATTAGTAGGATTTTTCTGAATATTTCAGACTTGAACTCAGGCTAGCTTTCTTGTGTTTTTCAAAACAAAATGGTGTCTTGTCTTTTAAAATCAATAAATTTGTTTCCTTGTTACAAATACATTGGAAATGGCTTGGTTTTTTCCCCTCAAATCACTGCCTGAAAGCTGATAATACAGTACCTCATCTGGAGGGTAGTATCTGTCATCCATTAACTTAGAAACAAAATTAAGTTGTTTTCCTTTTTTGTGTCAAATGAAATTGGCAATATTTACATGTGAACAGCACAAAAAGAGAAAATTATAAGCCCAGCAGGGTACAAATCTTACCCTCAAAGGAAATTAATGATTGAGTGCTATTTAATTTCAGAAGCTGTCACATTTCCATTGTAAATCCAGATTTTTGGATGTTCATAATCTGTTTGTTTTATGTCACTTCACATTGATTTTAGCACTCAAGTTCCTTTCTTACATTGAACTTGCTTATTAAAATTTATTTTAACACACTTAAGATATGCTGCCAGTTTTTTTCTTTAAATATCTACAGGGAAATTCACTTTTTGGTGTACAATCCTATGAGTATTGACAGACACATACAATCATGTAACCACCACCCTAATCAAGTTTAAAATGATTTACCTAGCAGACATTTAATTTTCTTTCAAATCCCAATATATATAGGGCCTTCTCTTAGAAATTTACATGGGGTTTCTTTAAAAGAAAGAAATACAAGGCAGAAATACCCTTTTGAGACTCTCTAGCATGATACTTCCAAGATCGCTCTGTAAAGTTATCTCTAAAACTACACTATTGCCAGGTACAGTGGCTTACGCCTGTAATCCCAGCGCTTTGGGAGGCCAAGGCAGGCGGATCACGAGATCAGGAGTTTGAGACCAACCTGGCCAATGTGGTGAAACCCCTGTCTACTAAAATTACAAAAATTAGCCAGGCATGGTGGCACATGCCTGTAGTTCCAGCTACTCGGAAAGCTGAGGCAGGAGAATCACTCGAACCCACAAGCCAGAGGTTGCAGTGAGCTTAGATTGTACCAATGCACTCCAGCCTGGGCGACAGACAGAGCAAGACTCCATTTCAAAAAAAAAAAAAAAACTACCCTATTGGCTTAGCCCATGGAAACACCAAATTCATTCCAACTTGCATTGATCTTTGAGCCAGTAGCTTAGAAATGTATCCAAATAATGTAATTTAATAAATAAACGGTAGGCAAAATTATAGCTAATAGTAGAAACAATACTAAACTAGAAAGAAAAATAATCTGACCAATATGGGCATTTTTATGTCGCAGCCGTTGCCACTTTTTAGATATTTGGAATTTCCATGCAAAATGAAGAGTTCCCAGTTTCTAATCTTATTTTCACACTTGATTTCTCTTGGAAATTAGAGGTCTTTCAAATCTCTTGTAATTAGTGCATTACTTGGCTATAATACTCTTCCTGCCATGATTTTTAATAGTATTTTCTTATGCTTTAGAACTCAGACATTTTAAAACTTGAATTTAGCCTACAACCAGAGAAATGTAACTGGTTTTATTTATCCATTCAATCCACCAAATTTTTTTTTAACTTTGGTCTAAATGTAATGTAGTTTCTCTCTCTTGCTCACTCTTTCTCTGTCTTTGAAAATACAAATAAAAGGTAATGACGTTCCTTAAGACTATGGAGTTCACATAGCTAGTGTCTCATGATCAGTAATCACAATAACCTGGAAGGAGACAAACATTCATGTGAATGTGGAGTAGCCTCTAAAACTGAGGCTTTAACTTGTATAAAACTTGAAAGTTCTGCAGACACACAAGTTCTTTGTGTGTCTGCCCATATTTCTGCAAAGAAGTTTCATAGCTTTCATCACATTTTCAAAGGTATATGCAACCCAAAACTGTAAAACTTACTGTTTAGAAGGTTACCACTAAATTTCAAACTTAATTTAAGCTTATAAAATGGCAACTCTAGAAATAGCTTATTAATAATTACTAATAGCATATTGATTCCTTTTGTGGGGGGGAGGGACGATGGAGTCTCACTCTGTCATCCAGGTTGGAGTACAGTGGCGTGACCTCGGCTCACTGCAACCTCCACCTCCCAGCTTCAAGCAGTTGTCCTGCTCAGCCTCCTGAGTAACTGGGATTACAGGCATGTACCACCACGTACAGCTAATTTTTGTACTTTTAGTAGAGACAGGGTTTCATCATGTTGGTCTCGAACTCCTAACCTTGTGATCCACCAGCCTCAGCCTCCCAAAGTACTGGGATTACAGGCATGAGCCACCATGCCCGAACTGATTCTTTATTATTAACAGGAAATAATAAACCCCAAGCATTTTTATATTTTTAATAGATTATTCTCTCTTGGGTTCAAAAAGCTGTAGTGAAGCCTTCAAACTATAAATCCACTCTATTTTTATACTCAGGTTGCAATGCAATAGTAACAATGCCAATCAAAGTCAAGATGGCAAAATTCAATCAGAGTTTCTGAAGAATTAACTGATTTTAAAGCTATTGGTGATAATTCTTCATCTAGAACTGTATCCACTCATGACAAGAATTAGATGACACTCCCACAGGAATGGAGGAAAGCTTAATGGAATATTTGCAAGGATGTGTTAAGGGTTAATTTTTTCTTTTGTCTTTAATGATAAAATGTTTATATACAACAGTTCTGTTTATATAAAATATGGATAAAAGTTGGGTAAATAAGTACTAAGACCATTGCTATAGTTCCCACTTCCCTAGTTGGTCATTAGGCCTAAATTGATGAACACATCTTACTAACTCCTCTATTGCATGTTCTTACTCTGCCAGGGCCTCTTAGGTAGGTTGCTGGTAGGGTGACTCAACGCTTCATTCCTTGAAGTCTTGTCTTTATTGGGTTATCATAGTTTTCCATTGACTCTGAAGCTGAGACTCCTGAGAGGACAAGTTGCAAGATAGTCCTCCTGGCTCCAGTTATGAAGTGATAACCCAGCTTCCTTTTTATAACTGCAATTAACTACCTGAATCACTAGCCTTCCTTACCTGTTGGTTCAGCACCATGAGAAACCCAAACTGGCCAAGGGATAGTCTTAGGACTGACTGTCTCGGCTTCCAGTTTAAACAAATCATGATTTGTTTCTCAAGTGGAAGCAGTCCTGCCTTGAATACTTGGACCTCCAAAGCCACTAAGTTCAATGTTTAAGGCCTGAAAAGCAAAAATCTTGTAAATGGCTTATTTGGTGTAATAGAGGGGCTACTCCCAACTCAATTCCTTGATTCCAGGAACTATGCATTCTGACTGAGAAAAATGGTGCCGAATATTGATGGATATCTGTCGTCTCCTAGCTGACATCATGGCTGAACCTTTAGCAGGCTGTTCTATTTCTTGTTCTATGGAGTGAGCAGCTTCCGTGTGATGAAACATGAGACCTCTGAATTTTGTGATGAAAGCCCACATCCCTTTGCCATGTGATTAGTTTTATAATCAGTAGTAGGATCCTGTAGGATATATTCATGAATAAAATACCTATAAATGGAAGAACGATGGAAAAGGCAAATCTATAGCTGGAACATTTCTCTATGCCTTTAAGAGAGTTGCTTTACCCGATTTGATGAAAAAAGATCCTATGTAATAAAAATACCAGTTGGTCCCAGTGGGGAATACAGCCACTTCAGGAGGCTTAGCACTCATTTCTGTCATGGGCAGGTTGCGCTCAGCAGCTCAGCAGTAGCAATGGCCGTATCAGCCTTGGTGAGGGGGAAGTCTGTGTTGCTGAGTTGCTGAGCCCCTGAAGAGCCTTATGCATTCTGCTATGGCCACTTTGTACTTGGGCCCATTTGGCTAGTGGAGGTGGCTGATGAAGGAAGTGGCTGGCCATCATTCTCAGATCTCTTGTCTGTTGAGAGTCTCACCCGCACCGAAATCTGGTGGGCCACATAAGATACAAGTATTCTCACGCTCAGTGTCCCTTCAAAGAGGCCCAACCACATGTTCTCCACCAGATCCTCTTGTCCCCATGCTTCCAATCTTGTGCAAATTCCTGACCAAGAGTTTTAATCTGCTTATCAGCCACTGCTAGCCCCTTGCATGTCAAGAAGACAAAAGATGTAAAGTAGGAAGTTCTGACAGCCCAGAGGAATTCCCTTCACAACTACCTTCCAAGGGCACCCCCGAATGACACTGGCAAACAGCATTTGCCACATAACAGACCCTAGCTGAGCCCAGCATGAAATGCCAACCCAAAGAATTAGGATTGTGGAATAAAGCATTTCTTATTTGAGTTTCCAGGTTCATGGAGGATTTCCATCTTAGTCTTAAAGTAATTAACATTCTCCTAACTTAGAGATAAATAAGATAATTACATGAGGGAAGTGTTCAGGACTGGGAGTCAGAAGCCTGAACTGTCTGTCTTATTACAAGTCTGCAACACACTAGATTAATATTCTTGAGAAATTCAGTTAACTTCTACAAATCTGAGTATATTTAGACGGAAAATGAGATCTCTTGCCTAAGCAATGACTGGTAAGGATGGTATATCTATGCTGGTTAAGAGATAGTCTTAGAAGTCAGGTAGGCCGGGTGCAGTCGCTCACACCTGTAATCCCAGCACTTTTGGAGGCTGAGGCGGGTGGATCATGAGGTCAAGAGATTGAGACCATCCTGGCCAACATGGTGAAACCCTGTCTCTACTAAAAATACAAAAATTAGCCAGGCGTGATGGTGCACGCCTGTAATCCCAGCTACTTAAGAGGCTGAGGCAAAAGAATTGCTTGAACCCAGATGGCAGAGATTGCAGTAAGCCGAGATTGCGCCACTGCACTCCAGCCTAGGTGACAGAGTGAGGCTCCATCTCAAAAAAAAAAAAAAAGTCAGGGAAATCTGGGCTTGAATTCCAACCCCACAACCTGGGCGACAGAGTGAGACTCCATCTCAAAAAAAAAAAAAAAGTCAGGGAAATCTGGGCTTGAATTCCAACCCCACAACCAGCTAGCTATGTGACCTCACTGGGTAAATTTAGTAACACACATTTATAAGGCCTTGCAGTATTTGCTAAATACTTAGCAGGTACTCACATGTGGCAAGCTCTCAATAAATGCTAACTTTTGGCGGTAACCTGCTTTAACTACCCTCTA